CCTCAAATTCAAGTTGTTAATCAAAATACACAATTAAAGAAAGTTGAAAATAATATTATTCCTCCTCCTCTTTTAAATAATGAAGAAAATAAAAAAACTTTCTCTATTGGAAAGATTATTGCTTTTATTGCTATAATTCTTCTTATTATATTTATGTTATTTATGCCTGAAATGTTTGTTACTGCATTTATGTCTTTTGTACTTGCTATTATTGTTGGATATTATGTTATTTGGAATGTTACAAGTGCACTTCATACTCCTTTAATGTCTGTTACTAATGCTATTTCTGGTATTATTGCTGTTGGAGGAATTACAAATATTTCATTAATTGATCCATCAACTGATCTTTTCTATTTTATTGCTGTTACTATTGTTGGATGTTTAGCTGTATTTATTGCATGTTTAAACATTTTTGGTGGTTTCTTTATTACTTACAGAATGTTGAAAATGTTTCATTAATTGAATATTTTAAATAATATATTTTTTTTTTTTGTTTTTATTATAATTTAAAAAGAATTATTGTTTTTAAAAGAAATAATTTATAAATTAATTATATTAAGAAAAAAAAAAGAAAAAGAAAATAAGATTAAAAAAATATTTTTTTTTTTTAAACCCTTCTAATCTCTAAAAAAAAAAAAAATGATTTAATATAATAATAATAATAATGAATACAAATATTCCATTTTCTGTTCCTCAAAATAATAATTTAAATGAACAAAATGAAATTAAACAAAATAATATTCCAGTTGATTCTCATATCATACCAAATATAAATAATGAAATTTTACCTAATGTTACTACAAATGGAAATTTTATTATTTCATATCATCATAAATTACCACATGAAGAACGACAAATGTTAGATGGAACTATAAAAAATGTTGGAGTTGTTATTAAACAATCAGCATTTCTTGTTGTTATTACATCAAGAACATTATCATTAGAAAATTGTAGTGTAGATTGTACTTTATTATATGATAATTCTGATATGTCAGCAGTACATTTTATTAATCAAAAACCAATTACTTTTAATAGTCAAGTTAGTGATCATAATTCAATAAATGTTGAATTACGTATACTTGTTTTATCATCACAACATGAAGATATGTTATTTAGAGTAAAATTTGATTTATATAATTCACAAAGAGAAAAAATAGAAACACTTTATAGTGAACCATTAAGAGTTATTTCAAAAGCAGATGGTGGAAAGAAAAAAATAAGAATAAATAAAAATACTACATTATTTCAAACAACATCTTCAAAATTTAATTCACAAACAAAACCACCTCGTCTTCCATGTTCATTAAAAAAAGATTCTTCACCATTACCTAAAAATATACAAAAAGAATTAACTGAAAGTGAAAAAGAAAATATTATTCAAACATTACAATATCAACAAACAATTCTTAAAGAATTATCTCAACAATCATCAATTAATCCATTAACATATCCATTAGTTGAAACATTAAATAGTTATTTATCACTTCCTCAAACTCAAAGAATACCACAATTACTTAGATTTGTATCTGATTTATCACCTCAAGAATCTATGGTAATAAATGAATTATTACAAACATATAGAGATTATAAAAAAAGTCAATAAATGAAATTGTTTTTATAATTATTTTATTTTTATATATTTAAAAATTATTAAAAAAAAAAAAAAAATTAAAATAATATTTGTTTCAAATAACATTTTTAGCAATGATTGAATCGTTTGCAAATTACTTTTGCATCAAATTTTAATGGATCAAAAGTATGTGCTACTGATGTAAACATATCAAATGCTTCTTTAAAACACATTTCTTTCTTTTTTCCTTTAAATTTTTGACAATATTCTTTAGCTTTATTCATTGTCCATCCATCTCCTTTATGTTCAACAACTCCAATTTGTGCTAATTCTCCTAAATGTAAACATGTATTACATCTCCAATTCTTTTTGCAATAAATAGATTTCTTTGTTTCTTTTAAATGTCCAATAAGTTTTCTTAATCTTCTTAATCTATTTTCACTTTTTCTAATAGCTAAATCAAGTGATTCAATTGTATTTTCTAATAATTTTAATTTTATTGCTTTATCTGTATTATCAATAGTATATAATGTTTCTTTTGCTAATTTATCTCTTTGACTTTCAGCTCTTTTAAGTTCTTTTTTTAAATTCTTTAGAATAAGAATAAAGAAATGTTCTTGATCTTTTACAATTTTTTTGTTAATAGAAACAATTTGATTTCTTTCTTTAATTAATCTAATTTGATCTTCTTGTGCTCTTTTTAACATAATTTGATAATTTTTCATTGTTCTAATTCTACATGATGTAGGTTCTAATGGTTTTAATGATTCAATTTTAATTCTAGCTTCAATTCCTCGATTTTTAGCATCAATAAGTTTACTATGAATATTTTCTAATTTTTTATTAATCTTTTTCATTATGAATTCTCTTTTCTTTGTACCAAGTGTTAAAAGAATATCTCTTTTAATAATTTCAATTGAATTTAATTTTTTAACAATTTTAATTCTTTGTTTTTTATCTATTTCTTCTTCTTTATATTTTTGTTCTAATTCATTTTTACTTTTTAATGTAGTATCATATTTAATATCTTCTTTAAGTGTTTTAATTTCATTTTCTCTTCTTTTTCTTGTTCTATCTAATGATTGAAGATTTCTATAATATTTAGCAATTTTACGTGATATTTTATTTAATAATTGTTGTTGTATATATTCATATCGTGTAATTGATCTAATAAATCTTGGAATAAGAATATTTTTACGTATTTTAGTTAATTGTTTAATTAATTTTTTAAGATATTTTTTCCTTTGAATAAGTTTATAACGATTTTCAACAAATACATGACGTTCACTAAGAATATTTTCTAATCCTTGAAGTTCAACTTGTTTTCTATTTAAAACTTCTTTAGATTTTTCTACTTCATCAGTTGAACTAAGAAATTTATTTAAAAATTTTCTTCGTTTATGTTCTTCTTCTTCTTTAATTTGGTCAAGAATTTTCATATGAATTGATTTAATTCCATTAATTTGATGTTTATATCCTTTAATTATTTTATCAATTTCTGTTATTCTTTTTCTTAATATCATTCCTTCTTGATTATTTGATTTTGGTAATGTATCTACATATCCTTCTTTCAATTGTGTCATTTCTTCAATCAATTTTTTAATTGTTTTTATTGTTTCTTTAACAAATTTTTTATATGTTTTTTGTAATAACTCTTTTCTTTGTTCATATTGATCTTTAATACTATAACATGTTTTATTATGACATCCACTAACTGTTCCTTTCATAAAATCTATTTCTTTTCCAATAATAGAAGCATAAATTTCAATCCGTTTATGTTGTTGATTTTCCCCTTCAATGTCATTAATTTTTTGTTGATACATTGTATCTCTATGGGTTTGTCTTAATAATTCTTCTTTAATTATCTTTTCAATTTCTAAATTCATACTATTTTTTAAATCTTCTTTAAGACATTCTTTAATATCAGTTTTTGCTTGTTTAAACATTGTTTTAATATTCTTTTCATGTGTGAGTTGTAATTCTAATAAATTCATTTCATCATCACGTATTACTTTAGCAATTCCAGTAACATTTAGTTTTTGTTTATCTGCAATAACTTTTTGGATATTTTTAATAACCTCTCGTTCATTTTCAATCTCATTTTTGACATATGATTTGATAATAGAATAATGTGAATTTAATATCTCATTAATTTCATTGCCTCTAACACACAACAAAATAAAGAGTACAATTAAAATCTGCATTTTCATTGTGTTCTATAATATTATAATTTTTTTTAGTTCTTCTTTTCCTTTTTTTTTTTTTGATTTTTATTCTGAATCGGTTTTTAGAATAACATAAATCTTAAACCATAAAACAATAATTCATTTTCTATCTTCTTATTCATTTCTCTCTCTTTATATTTGTGATCTTTTTCTTTACTTTAGTGTTAATTTAAATAATCTTACTTTCTGTTTTAGTTGTTTTATGAATAGTCACAATATCTTTATCAACAATCAAGAATGATATATAATTACTTAGTTTAGTTAATAAACATTAATATCTCTAAATGAATTTAAAAGGTTTATTAAAAAAAGGATTGGTAGTGAGATAAGTTGTACAAGAAAGTTAAGAAAGAACTAAAAATGATAAATGAGTATTTCATTTTCATATACAGCACGATTCTTTTCTAGACAACGAGAATTAGTCATTTCTAAACCAAATGCATTATTTGTTGATGCAAAACAAAAAATTATTGAAGATATGAAAAGTTGTAATATTTCTATTGAACCATCTCAATTAGTATTAACTGTAGGAAATAGAGAAGTTAATGAATTAGACCAAATAATACCAAATACAATTATTCGAGTTAGTGTTAAAGAAATTGAAGAAAAGAAAGAAATTCATAAAGAAATTGCAACAACTAAAGGAGTATATATTGATAATGTAGAACGACCAACAACACAATTAATAAACACTAGACCAAAAAAACAACAAAGACAATTACCACCAGGATATATTTGTAATAGATGTCATAAACCAGGTCATTATATTAAAGATTGTCCTGAAAATAATAATCCAGCATTTGATAAAAAAGAAGCAGCAGGATTACCTATGGAAATGTATGAAGATGCACCAGATGATGATCCAACAGCAAAAACATTGAAAGATGGAAGAAGAGTAAGATTGAGAGATATGAATGGTCAAGGATTTAAACCAACAATTTCAAAGAATGAAATGTCTGAAGAATTTGATATTCCTAAACTTCTTAAATGTAAAAAATGTGGAGGATTATTAACACAAGCTTGTTTTATGAGGTGTTGTAAAAATACTCTTTGTGAAGAATGTTTAAATGAAGTTCGTCAAAAGGAAATGTGTACAATGTGTGGAAAACAAATTGATATTTCAAAAGATATTATTATTGATAAAAAAACAAGAGAAGAAGTACAAAAATACTTTGATAGTATTAATGAAAAGATTGGAAAACATTTAACTGCTACAAATATCTCTCAAATGAAAAATAAAAATTTATCAACAAAAAATATTGAAACAAAAACAAATCCCACAGAAGAAGAAAATGAATTAATTCATCAAATTAAAGTAATTGATATATCTGAATTATTTCAAGGAAATAATAGAATGGAACAACGTGGAAGATATCATGGTAAAATTTTGAGTGAACTTCATATTGATTGTAATTTTAATGGAAAATTAATTGGAATTGAAGAGAATCCTGATGAGATTATTCGAAAAAGTTTTCATCCAAATGATGAAGAAAATAAAAGAAGTAGAAGTCATTCAAGAGAACGAAATCCACATGAGAAAAAGAGAAATTAATGAATTTTAATCTAACTCTTTGTTATTATTCTTTTTTTTTTAAATTAATTTATAATTTATTCATGTTATTCAAATAATTTTTATAATCATTCTTTATATTAACATATTACATAATTCTTAAATTAATCAAAACTTATTTTAAATATCTTTATTTTCTTAATTTACTATCTAAATATATTAATAAATGAAATATATTAAAGAAGTAATAATGTTTTAGATGTTCTTAAATTAATTAAATGATTTGATAATAAGAAGTTTATTCTATCTTTTATAATAAACAACAGTCTTCTTAATTAATATTAATTAATATTTTTATCTTTGTTAAATTATATTTATTCATTAAAAATATGAATTTATATTATTGTAAATAATGTTAATAGAATTGATTTATTAGATATTATTTTTATTTTCATTGTTGTTCTCTTCAAAACACTTTTATCTTCTTTTATTCTATTTATATAATTGGAAGAATCAAAAATGTTAAATTTGAATAAAAAACTTAACAAACCACTTTATATAATCTTTTATTCATTCAAACAATTTAACTACTTACCATTTAATTAAATAATAATAATAATAAAATGATGAATAGTTCAATTAGTTATTGAATTTAATGTACATTTTCTTATCTTTATTTTTAAATCATTTCAGATATATTTATGAAATATTTTTCTAACTCTCAACCATACCATATAATAGTCATTCATTGTCTCTGAGTTAATATACTAAATTCTTTAAAACTTCTAAAAAAAAACTAAAAAAAATATATATATATATATTACAAAAAACACATGAAACTCATCATATTTTTTATATTCTGGGCATGGTCATATAATATTTACCAATATCCAAAGAAAGTTATATTGGTATTATTACCTCATCAATTACCACAATGGGAAACACAAAAAGAAATATATTTACAAACATATTTAGATTATTATTCATTACTAAAGACAATGTCAACAATGCTATCATTTAAAATAGAAATTGGAATTAGTTTTCCAGATTTTTATTCTTCAATTCAATTAACTGAAACTCAGACATTTCTAAATCAAATACAAAGACATTCTATTCCATCAATTATTATATCAAATGAATCAAACACAACACGTCTTTTAAATGATATTTCATCATTTCAACATAAATTAAAATCTTATCAATTTGCTATTTCATTAACAAAAACTGTTAAAAACAAATGTCTTGGCAATTGTGATGATAAAACACTTCTTCAACTCTCACAACAAACACAAAAATTAAAACAAGAAATCTCTTCATTCCATGGGTTAATTGCTTTAGATTATCGTAGATTTAATAAAAATCCAATAAGTATGATTTTAGATGATGTGTTTGCACATTACTATGAAGTAACTGATAATGCAATTGATACAATTTTGAAAACAGCAAAAGATCATCAATCATTATCAGCATCATTTGATGTTTCAGAATTTGGGAAATTCAATGTATTTCAAATTGTGGATTTT